ACACGGAAGGGTAGGGGGGGTTCAAGACGAAAGTCAAGGAGATGCTAGAGAGTAGGGAGGAGGCAACCCTTCGGAAGAAGGTACGAAGCGAAGACCACTTGGAGATATACGGGAAGTTGAAAGAAGGGATAGGGATGAAGACGTACTTGGACGGCCCCATGGACTATGCGAAAAAGCTGAAATTGCAATTTCGAGTAGGCGATCTGGACTTGCCAGAACGGAGGAAGAGGTATACCAGCCGTAGGAGAGAGGAAGAGGAGGATAGACACACATGTCCATGTGGCAAATCGGAGGAGAGTAGACCCCACATAGTTGGGGAGTGTGACTTGTACAAGAAGGAAAGAGAGGATCTCGCGGAGGAAATGAGACAGAGAGGGTGTGACATGGACAAGTTTGGTAAATTAGACAACAGCGAAAAAACGATCGCGATAATTGGGGATAGATGGTGGACACAAGAGGCCCTAGAGGACGGGGATAAGATGTGCAAGAAATTTTTATGGAGTTTGTGGCAGAAACGTAAAGAGCTCCCAAATGTTGGTGGTGTCTCTAGTAGGTGTAGGAACGGTGCTCCGTCTCGAAAGGGACGCGTGGTCAATGGTCAAATGACTACGGCAAGCAACAAATGAGTACGCCCCCCCCCCTCCGCGCGCCACCAATCTCCCCGCCTCGTCGACCGCAGAAGGGTGTCCCGACCCTCCGCCCGCGGGCGGGAGCTTTGGTCGTCAGCGTGGCCGGTATTCCGGTGTCTCACCTCACGGTATCGGCGGTGACGTCCCTTTTGAACGATATCGCTTCGGAACCTCCGCGACGATCGCCGCCCGCTCGGGGTAATGCTGGCGGTGAACGTAAGAAGGTTGCGGGCGGTTGGACTGAGACCGTGCTGGCCAACAGTTCGAGTACCACTCGAGGATCTTCGGCAGCAGCAGCGGCGGCGGCGGCGGCACCAGGGAGAGGAGGAGGCCCCCAAGGACAGCAACGGCCGCGACGGCAACAGCACCAGCTCCTGCCTCGCGACGGCAGCAGGAGCAGGAGCAGGAGCAGCAGGGGAAGGGGTGACGTGATCAGGCTCGTGCTTAGGGAGGTGGAGGTCCACGCCTGGCCCCCTAACTGGCGGCACGAGGTGTGCAGGTTTTTTGTTTTCGTTGTTTTGGAAAATGACGATGGGTGCAGACCGCGCCACCATTTGGTAATTGGTCGGTGAGGAATTGCGGGTTCCATTTTCCACCAAGTAGAAAGAACTTGAACCCTATATACCCACACGAAACAAGCATGTAGGATTCCATTTTCGTCCTTTTTTTTTGTCTAGAATTATGAACCCCTTTTTCGGGTACAGCAGGAGTTGGCCTGTGACCACGAAAGGAGTCCGAGTCAGTTGGACTCGCACGGACGTAAGAAGGTACTCAGCAGAGATGGCACAGTTATTTATCGATGTGAAGACAAGAACAACAGAAAATATCCGTTGGTTTCCCCGCTGATCAAACAAGCAGCAAGGTTTGCGAAAAATATACCTTTCTCTTGATGTGGCGGCGCGTTCTGAACGCGTCCTTTCGTCTCGCAGAGGATAGGAATCGGGGACGTGTTCGTACCATCCCCTCCCCTCCGTCCTTGATTTCGACAAGGATGGCCTTGTATTGCTGTCGGTGTCGTAGCTCTCGATCGTTCGCGCGGTTTTCGATGGTATGGGATGGTTTCAATGCGCCCTGGTTAGATTCTGCGTCATGCTTCCTACGAAGTCGTTGCGATTGAAAAAATGGCCGTGGTGGTTGACGATGTGCGGAGCAGGGTGTGTTCCGAATCTGACAGCTGAGGGCGTCCATGTTGTAGCGCAGAAATATTCATGCATAACGGCGGGCTGGATTGTGTGGTCCTGGTCGTCCCCCCACACCAACAGTTTCCTTAGTCGAACGAGACAGGTCTACTACGCCGTTTGATGCCATGTAGGCCTTTTCCATGATCGTTTTCTTCTACTACCAGTATAAGGTTGTGCCCTGGGTCGCACCAAAAAGGTGTCGATCGGGGACGCATTTGCTGCTCTCCGGCCCGCCATGCGTTCCTATCTTTCTAAATTTTGTGCCGCCGTGCTCTCGGATACACAGGTTCAGTGTCCCGGTGTGAGGGTAACCGTGATCGACGATCTAGAGGGGCGCGACATGCCGCTTTTGAGAGCTGAGGTCGGGAGCCTGGACATGACTCACGAGAGCGGTCCGGGAATGGCCAGGTATGTCTACGTCGTTTTCACGCTTGGGAGATCTGTTCTGTTAACCAAACTCTTGTTTGGTTGTGCTGCTGCTGCTGTTATGTGTTGCAAGTTCCACCTCTCTGATCGATGTTTGCACGTGTCGGCTACCTGGCTTGTCAGTCGGGAATCGTATGGCCGCATCCTTACACGGAGACGAAAGTCCTCACGACAAACGGAAGCAACAGAGAACCGCCACTCGATTTCGGAATATGGGGATACTCGTAATTAGGGGATACCCTTCTGTGTGACTACGGGTTGGCGTAAACGGCATAAGGGCTGTGAGCGCTGATTTGAAGTGAAGACAAAGAAGAAGAAGTGGTCCCGTGCATGCGGTCGCACAAACAACGGTGGTCGCATGGGCTTGATCCGATTTATTACGCTTGATTTCTCCACGATGAAGACCAACGCGCGCAATCAAACAAGCGTTTTCGGAAAGCTCTCAACGAGGCCGTTCCAACGCCGCCATTTTCGGAACCGTACAAATATTGTGTTGTGCTGCAGATTTACCGGCCTCTGAATGTCGGTCCAGGGGATGTGGTGTCTTTCGTCTTTCCACCTATTGTAGTGCCAACCGCCCTGTTTTCTTTTTTTTCTTTTTTTTCTTAGGGAGGTGAAATCACTTGACGTGGATGGCATAGTCAACTTGTCTCATATCTGCTTAATGCCGGGAGCCCGTCAATAAGGCCGGCCAAGTCCCTATTCGACAATACCGGAGGAAACCTACAACTGTAACGCAATCCCCAATGTCGCACATTGCTCTACTTCATTCCCGCCGACGTATCACGCGCGCTCTTGGGTGTGGTGTAAGTTGTGTGATGTTGGTTGTCGGCCGGAACCGAGCAAAAACATATACCGTAGTTGTGCGGTAGGTGATACAAAATATACGTATGTAACAGACAACGCAGCTTTTTTGGTGGTCCAGTGTTTCCATGCTCAAGTATATGTGCAAAACAAGGTACGCAACAGGCAACGCGAAATTGATTCGTTCTTCTAGCTTTCTCACCAATGCCTGCTTCGTCAAACAACCCCAATCAGACACAGCGCCGGCGACAAGCGGGCGTCGCTAGGCAAGTCGATTCTCGCCACTACCGCTGGGGGGACCAGCGCCGCTGGTGGTGGCCGCACTGCTGGTGGTGTCGACACCGCTCTACTTGTCGTTCCCGTCAGTCGCACGGCAGCGGCCTGCGATGCACAGGTAAAGTGTCAACTTGTTCAAACCTCCTGAAGGTTTACGTAGATAACAAGGTTCCCGGGTGGGGGCGCTGCGGTCTGTACTCTACGGCCGTCACCACCGTTGATATACTGTAAGCATTGCTGCTGCTGCTGCTGCTGCTGCTGTGATGCCCCAATTACTACCTTGCGGCTCATTGTTGTAAAGTGTGGTAGATTGAAGCGGTGACGAATGCTTGCTCGCGTTGGAGATGGTGTTGCTGAATTCAGTGAAGACGTTGGCGAGAGGTGCTATGAGCCGTTTCAACCCTCCCTGTAACGTGTTGAGTGCTTCGATCGGACTCTTTTCTTGCAACTTTTAACTTTTCGCCGCGCGGCGGGGGTGGAGGATTGCCCGGCAAATTTTTGTTTTGGGCTGCGAATCGTGCATTCATTTCAGCAACTCATTGTCCTTCCCACCACCGCCGTACATAGCGGTTGGCCCCTTACAGCAGTACATCTTCGCACAAAAAATAAAGCCGGTCGCATTGCCAGGGCAAATCAGGTGACACGGATGGAATTTTGTTCAAGCTGTCTATCTCATTCTGTGATTTAAGTAGTGCCGAGTCCCGTGAACCTAAAGGCGAGGTAAATATTAATCCCTCAAGTTTGGCACAACGACGCGGCCTATTATGGTACCGTAGCAGTTCGTGGAGCTGGAAGCAAAAAAAAGATGAAATAAAAAATCCATGCCGGGGCTCGAACCCGGAATCTTCCGCTTCGTAGGCGGACGCCTTATCCATTGGGCCACACGGACACTTGAAGGGTTGGCTCAATGCACCTGTCTCAACCACGGTCCTGATTGCTGCTCTCGACACACACACCTCACAGCAGCAGCGCGAGACATACATAACGCCTCGGGCGGGAAGTAGCCGGAAACCCCTCTCAGAATATGCGGAATATGCAGGGATGTGGCTCATCACGACCACCTGTACCACGGTCGATTCCGACTGGGGTTGCTACGGCCGGAGTCGTCCCCACCGATTGGGCCACACGACCTGTACCATGACTTTCCGGTCGTCCATTATTAGATACTGAACGCTGCATCTTCTACCGACCGAACGACAACAGGACACATGAGTTTCTGGGCTCGTACAATATTTTCTTAACCCACATTGTTACATTCTGTGTGCCCCCTTTCTTCTTAAAAATAGAAAAATAGCCCAAGAGTATCAAATTTGTTGAGAACAACTACAGCAGGAAGTGGGGCTGACGGAGGCAATTCAGTACGCACAGCTATATTACACTGTACTCGCCCCCCGCAAATGTGGCGCTGTGGCTATCCATCCCAGTTTGCTTTATATGAAGCAAAAAGTACATGGGGTCCCGTCGGGGATGGGGGTCCGGGGATGACAACCGAACGTTTCCTGATGAAAGTACATGGCAGTGCCAGCGTTGGTTTAGTATCCCCCCCTTTGAATCAAGTAGTTTTGGTCTGCTCCAGAACATTCATCGGGAGGCATCATGCAGGAAAAGCTTCCAACGACGAGCCTGGAGGGGGTCGCGCGGTGTGCGTGTCGCTATCTCTCGGCGGTCTCCAGACAGGTCCAGATGGCAGACGCACCACAGAGAAGATTCACAACCCTCCCACGGTTTCGCCCGGAGTTCGATTCTCCGTACGTGTACCATGTAGCAGTAACGTTGAGCTCGCTCTATTCATGGGCTAGTCTACGGAGATACGCATGCTCTCATGTTCTACATCATCAGACCATCTGGCTTACCTACTGGTGAGTTCGATGTATCGGGGCACAGGGAGGTTAGCACAGCAAGACTCCGCAAGCAATCGCTATCCCAATCTCCACTCCGTTGCGTCAGCGGTCACCGCAGTTCTCCGTTAGGTCACGCAGTCAAAGCAGTTCTCGTACAATGGCTCAGATCTCTTGCATTCACACGTGGTGATCAGAATCACCAGGTAGGCATCGGATGGAGGAATCCGGTGCGGGTACCCGCGGATTGGAATCAAGAGGTGGTGACACACCTGGACCCTCTATTTTCCTATCAATCCACGCCCTCCATGCTCAGAGTAGTCCCCTCTGCGCACTTCGACGTACTTAGTTGCCTGTGGGTTAGGCCCTTCAGGCTCCCGTGGGTTTATCGGTCTACCGCCGCTACACACGCGCCTCAGCGAAACCGCCGAAAAAAAAAACGGGAGTCTCTGGACATATGCACGCCCGCCCCTCTCACCCCCCCCCCCCCCCCCCCCC